AGACCGCTGCCCATGTTAGATTCGCACAGTAGTGTCGCATTGCGGTGCCAATGCCAAAACCTCCCAAACGGCGTGCCCATGAGGAACTGGCCGCAACGCCAGAAGCCCCATCGCCCCAGGGGCGCGCCACCTCGAGAAGGGGACAGCTTCGCGCCGCCTCCTTATTCGGCCTCTTCTTCTTCTTCTTGCCAGCCTTGGCGCTCGGCGAGTGAACCCCCCGCTCTGGCCTCGGCCCCCTGGCCGTTGTCCGACTCCTCGGGGCTCGCCACGACGCCGCCCCTCTGCTTGATCTTCGACTCGAAGGCCTCCAGCTCCGCGATGTAGGCGGCCGCCGCCTCCGTCTCGAACTCGTCGCCCGCGAAGCCGCGCCTGCTGTAGGGGTCGACCAGTCCCGAGAGCGGCCAGGCGGCCTTCCACGAACCCTGGTTGATGGCCACCTGCTCGAGCGCCTTCATGATCTGCGCCAGCTGGCCGTGCGCCTCGTCGAACCGCCCCTGGTCCGTGAACTCCAGCACGGCCACCAGCATCGCGTACGTCTTCTTCAGATCGTAGAACCTGCCCCACGGAATGTGCCTCTTGCCGTAGTCGAGGTACGTCCACGCCATGCCGCGCTGCACACCGAGGGCCTGATTCACCTCGCTCCTGAAGGCCTTCACGACGCGGAGCGGATGCTTGCGCACTCTCTGGCCGGAGGCGCCGCATGCCCCGCGCCACCTTGCCGGCTTTGCCTACGCTGCCTAGGCCTCCGACCGTCTCGTTCTCGTCGCCCGACGAGCTGGCCCGCTTCCCCGTCTCGAGCCGCTCCAGCTTCCTCAGCTGGAGCAAGCTTTGCAGCCCGTCGAGGTTGGCCGCCGCCTCGGCCGCGCCTGGGGGCACTTGCCCACCTGGGCCGCTGCTGCTGGTCCCCGCCTGCGCGGCCGGGCGCGGCGCGCCCTCCTCGTCGCTGCTGGAGAGCTGCCGCCGCCGCTCGCTGCGGGCCGCCGCTGCTCCGCTGGCCATCCCCCCGCGAACCGAGCGAGCCGTCGGCTCTGCCTCTGAATCGGACGAGTTGTCGTCCTTGCCGGGGGGGTCGGCTCTGCGGAGCCGCCGCGCAGATCGTGCCACGAGCTGCTCCGGCCCTGGCAAGCCGGCGGCCGCACCAGGCCCGCGGCCCAGCAGCGCGCGCCAGCTCGCCGGGGCTGCGGCCGCGGGAGCGTCGCCTGCGCCCTGTTCCTGCAGGCGCGGCGCCGCTGCGTCCATGTCCTCCATCGAGGTGTGTATGCCGCCTCCCACGGCCGCCAGCCCGCTCTGCAGCGCCTCCAGCTCGAACTCGCGGTCCCCGAAGTGCATGTAGTCGTCCGGCCATCTCTCTGGCGGCTCCGTACGCATTCGACGCTGCAGCACGATCACAAAGCCGACCTGCACCTCACTCCCACTGCGGTCTCTCACCGCGGCTTCGTACGCCGCGCCACCCACTGCTCGCACAGCGAGCGCGGGCACTGCCAGCGACACGTGCTGGTCGTGGCACTCGACCACGTGGCCTCCCATGTTGACGCCCTGCTGTCGCCCTGCAGCGCCGCCCACTATCCTCGCATAGGCCAGGCCGCCTGGGGCCCAGGCCATGGCACCTGCACCCGCGCCGCTGTCGAGCCACAGCAGCGCTTGAGGCCCCCCCCTTTCCCCAACCTGTCTCTCCCGCCTCCCAAGAGCTCAAGGGCATCTCATTGAATCGATTTCACTCCGGTCTCACGATCGACCTTACAATCGTTCTCATGATCGATTCCACTATCGATCTCATTATCGATCTCACAATCGATCTCAAGATCCATATGACTAATTTTCTAATCATCCACTGATTGGGGTTTTCTCATGCGTATTTCCCCAATCATTGCTTGCACTGAAGGGGTCCTAGCGGACATTCCCAATTCAGTGCTTGCACTGAAGGGGTCCTAGCGGATGTTGAAAGAGAAGGCGAATGTTTCACGCCGATTTTGGTGGCAGGCTGGGTTCCCGGGTTCCCAGTTCCGGGTTCCCGGGTTCTCGGTTCCCCGGCCGATTTCGGTGGGCGGCGAGGCCCCCAGGTTCCCGGGTTCCTAGTCGATCTTCTTATCGATCGGTCTCACCATCGATCTCATTACCCACTTCTCTATCAATATCCCCATTGGTCTCACAATCGATCTCACTATCGATCTCACAAGCGATCTCACTAGAGATCGCATGAGCGATCTCGCGATCGATCTCACTATCGATCTCATTGACTCGATTGCACTCTCGATCTCACGATCGACCTTACAATCGTTCTCAATATCAACAATATTAATTTTCCAGTCATCCACTGATTGGGATTTCTCAGGTGAAATATATGCGTATATTTACATATACATATATACATATGTGGTATATGTTATATACACATGTCATGGGATTTGCATATATGATTACATACAATTACAAAGAGAAAGCGAGAGAGAGAGAGAGAGCGAGAGAAGAGAGAGAGAGAGAGAGAGAGGGAAAGAGAGAAACCGAACCAGGACCCGGGACCCAGGACTCGGGAACTGGGAACCAGGAGCTGGTAGCTGGGAACCAGGAACCAGGAACCAATAACTGGGAAAATTTCGGAACGGAGAACCGGGAACCGGGAACAGCGGAACCGAGAAACAAGAACCGGGGGAACCATGAACAGGGGGGAATCAAGAAATGGCGGGAACTGGGAACCTGGGGAACCGGGAACGGGGAATCAGGAATGGGGAACCAGGAACCGGGGACCGGGAACCGAGAACCGGGAACCAGAAACAGGGAACAGGGAACCGGGAACTGGGAAACGGGAACCGGGAACCAAACATCGGGAACCGGGAACCGGGACCAAGAACCCAGGGCCCCGGGCCTGGGAACCCGGAACTGGGAATCGAGAAGCAGGAACCAAGCAGGAATTCGTTGACTAAAGAACCCTACTTCAACTTCGTAGACTCCAGCTGGCTACCACGTCGGTTCCTCTTCCTCCTCCTCCACATCATCATCATCATCATCATCATCATCATCATCATCATCATCATCATCATCATCACCATCAGCAGCAGCAGCATCATCACCATCACCATCACCATCACCATCACCATCATCATCATCATCATCATCACCATCATCATCATCATAATCATCATCATCGGAATCATCATCATCATCATCATCACCATCATCATCATCACCAGCATCATCATCATCATCATCACCACCATCATCATCACCATCACCATCATCAGCATCATCAGCATCATCATCACCTCCACCATCATCATCACCATCATCATCATCATCATCATCATCATCATCATCATTAGCATCATCATCATCAGAATCAGCAGCAGCATCATCGTCATCAGCATCCTCATCATCATCAGCAGCATCATCGTCATCATCGTCATCATCATCGTGATTATCATAATCAGCATCACTATCATCATCATCAGCAGCATCATCATCATCACCACCAGCAGCATCATTATCGCCACCACCATCATCATCACCATCATCAGCATCATCATCAGCATAATCATCATCATCAGCATTATCATCAGCACCAGCAGCAGCGCCATCATCATCATCGTCAGCAGCAGCATCATCATCATCATCGTCGCCATCATCATCAACATCATAATCAGCATCATCAGTATCAGTATCAGTATCAGTATCAGTATCAGTATCAGTATCAGTATCAGTATCAGTATCAGTATCAGAATCATCATCATCATCATCATCATCATCATCATCATGAGCTTCATCATCATCGGCATCATCATCAGCATCAGCATCACCATCACCATCATCATGCACAACAGCAACACCAACAACCACCACCATCACCATTATCATCAGCATCATCATCATCATTAGCAGCAGCACCATCATCGGCATCATCAAACTCGTCGGCTCAAGCTGGCTAACTCGTCGGCTCTTGCTGGATTGAAACGCACGTGCACTACGTTATGTGTATTGGGTAGTGTGGCTCCAAAGCTGTTTCGGTCAGTCGGCTGCACGGCATAACGAAGTCGGCTGCACGGCAGAATGGGTGAGCCTGGTTTTGCTGGTTTATTAAACAGAATACGTCTCCCCCGCGTACAAGTAGAGTGCTCTCCACATGAGATCAGCACCACGCTGAAGGACGCAAGACACACATCTCATGGGGGGTCGAGATGAACGATCGCGAAGAGGTTTCGAGACACATGCGAAAACTCCAACCACTAGCTAAGAAGCTTGAACTCGACGATGTTCTCCGACAGACACCTCCGCTGGACGGTAGGAAAAAGAATATATCTCAAAAGCCGACCGGTGCCGATACTTACTGACTCGAGAACTGATCAGGTGCGCAGGTCCAGCAGCAGTTGCGCACTCTACGACATGATGGTGCACTGTCACTTCCAATCCTCCAAAGACTCTGAGACCAACAGACACGTGATCAACACCTTGCCAAAGAGCATATGACACATAGACTGTCAGCCCTGAGTACATGCGCATGTGCTTTAAAGACCTGCGCTCCTGGAGTAAGACGACCTTGTCGGGCACTCCTGCGTCAAAGACTGGTTGCCCAGACCATCTTGAGACATTGACACGGTTGATCACCAGTCCCTACGAAGCGTTGTATTCTAGGGCTTGCGGATTGCGGCTACGAGTGGACCCAGAATGAACAAGCGACGCGGACGGGTCGTCTGCTCGGCCTTGCCCAAGTGGTCAGAAGCGCTGGCCTCACGGCGAAACATGACCCAGAGGAAACCGACATGTGCGACATGAGCCGAATCGATTGGGAATCCGGGCGAAACTCTGGGGACGGCGCTGGTGGCGCGAAAATTACCGCTAGGGGCGTCCGCGCCCGAGCCCGAGCTCAAAAAGAGTATGCCTACGCCGTTTCCCCCGTCTTCGAAGACCTGCAAACTGCCCCACCGCCCACGCCCCTGATCAGAACGGCCCTCCCCCCCTGGAGCTGGGTGGCCACGGCTTCCCACACTGCCCCGTTATGGTCACGCGGCCTCGTTCTGCAGAGCCCGCGCGCGGCAGAAGCTGGTGCCGGCCACGACGTTGTCGCCTCAGGTGCGGGGTCGAAAATGGGGGGCGGGTGGAAGCGGGCCCGAAGAGGAAGCGAAGCGAGGGAGGAGGATCACGTGTTTCACTATCGGGATGCAACTGCCACCACCGAAAAAAATATTCGGAATTCCGCGCGGATGTTTGGGATCGACGCTCAAGTTCCCTGCATAGCGCGCTCCGCAAGACCTGGTTGGCGCCGCAGGCGCTGCAAGGGGTCCGACGCCGATCCAACGATCCGCGCGGAACTCCGAAACCTTGTACGCGCGCTGTGTTCGCTCTTCAAAACGAGTCCCGAACTGAGCAAGACGCACCACGACCACGACGACACCGTCAACGACGATGGGGACGAAAGGCGCAGACGATGACGATGACGCTGGTGATGACGATGACGGCACGACTGGAAATTATCATGGTAGTGATGATGATACCGATGATGATGGCGCCGATTAAAAATGTGACGAGGAAGAAGAGGAGATCCTCGGGCAAATTTAATATGAGACCGGTACGTGTATGACAGTTGTACCTGCTGGCGTTCGGATCAAGTCAAGTCACGGGGGCCCCTCGCTCCGCAAGCGGAGACGGAGGGCACGAGACAACACAGCAACGAAACGCGCGTGCAAGATAACTGGCTGGTGCAAGCCGGTGAAACATTAATCGCACATAAAATATACCACAACATGTGGCTCAGAAATGAATGGTTGATTTCTCCTCGGGCCCTCGTCAGAACAATAACTCCTGCGCGCAAATGACGCGCGACGCAAGGGGCACGAGGGAGCCGAAAAAGAACGAGGGACGGGCCCCAGGAACCACGGACAACCGAGCGGAGGGACACGACCGAAGGAAAAGGGCAACGGAAAAAACAACCGACGTGAAAAGAAACCACCTGCTACCGACGGCGCGGAGCATAACGGACAGACCTTTTTGCCGAGAAAGACGAGGAACATAGCCCAGCGCGTCCACCACTCCAAACAGAGGCACGGTAGCTGTTGGCAGGGAAACTGAAAGAAGCATCCTGGGGGCCACCCGCACGACCATCTTCGCTTGCGAAGGAGGTCGCGGCGAGGGCGGACAAGCTCACGGCCAGCAGCAGGAGCAGCAGGATCTTCGAGCCAGCATTCGGCAACCGCCTGGCGCGCAATCCACCAGGTCGCAGAGCCAACGCCGCAGCGAGCACGATGAGCAGGAGGTCAACCTTCACCAGGAAGATCGGCACGAGCTGCGCCGCCAGCAGCGCGAAAGACTGCGCCAGGATTACGCGGGCGCACGGCACGAGGGCCATCGCGAACATTACCTCCAGCGGCGTCGACGCGATCAGAAACTTCATCGCGGAACTCTGGCAGCGCACCATCAGCGACGCCAGGAATGCACCAGCCCTCCTCGCCTCCGTCGGCAGCCGTGCGAGGTTAAGGCCAGACTCCACGAGCATCATCGTCATCGCGTAGAGTGTCGCGCATGGTTTCATCACCTGCAGTGCCAAAGACTTCATCGCGAAGAGGTGGGCGCACGGCCCGAGGATCATCAAAAACATTGGTTCCAGCATTGCCCTGGCGATCTGCAACTTCATCCGGGAACTTAAGCAGAACGCCACGAAGAGGATCGGCCTCTTGAAAACGAAGGAGCTCATCGCCACCGCGGAAGCAGTCGCCAGGATGAACTTCAGCTTGAGCAGGGGGCTCACGAGAAAGGCCACCACGAACAGCTTCACGAGGAAGCACAGGATGAAGGGTCGTAGATTTCATCGCCGTCGGATTCTGGAAGAATTCCAAGGGCCGCCAAAAGGACGTCGGCGCGCTGGCCCTCGACGCCGCGCAGCCAGGCGCGAAAGTTCTCGAAGGCGGCGCGCCGGGCGCCCGCGGGCGCTGCAGCCAGGGGGCATAGGTTTGGCGGGGGGGCATGCCTAGCCCAGTCGACGCGGGCAGCGGCATCCAGCGCAAGCTCCCCCAGCTCCGTCAGCCCCAGCAGCTGCGCGCCACTCGCCGCTGTAGCCCGGGGGGCTTCGCGTCGGCCGACGCGATCGCCCGCGGACCGGCGCACGGACTACGAATGGCGGAAGATGGCCGCCCGCCCGCGCAGGGCCAGGGCAGGCGTCGCGCCGGCTTCGGTCTTGCGATCGCCCAAGGCGTCGGGCGAGAGCGCGAGCCGAAACCGCCGCCCACTGCCTGGCAGCGCCCTCCCGGGCAACCGGCGGCGCCCAGCGTGGCGCAGGGCAAGCCCCCATGGCTGCGGATGACATAAATGAGACTCGCGCCGCAGTCGCGCCGCAGAAACGCATCTACATGATCTGCGCATCGACGCCGTGGCCAACCGCCACGTCGCGGGCCGGCAAGGCGTCGGCGGGAAACTTGCGCGGGCCATTCCCGCGAATCGCTCGCGGGGGGTCGCGTCGCGAGGCGCCGCGATGACCCATCGCGACGAACCAGTCGGACACGGGGGGCGCTCGCATAGCAACGCGCACTTTTCGCTTGCACCGTCGCCCCGCCACCCCCCCAAGTCTGACTGGGGAGCTCGCTGAAACAAACCGACAATCCGACGGGGCATTTTGGCGCGAGTTGATGCAACCGTTGACCCATGCTGCGCTGTGGCAGCGGTCGCTGAAAGACCACGGACAGCGGCGGGCGCAACCATGGCGTCGAAAAACTTCAACGGAAGCCGCATATGTACATATATATATATATTATTTATTTCGACTCGGCTATGCCCCTAAGAGCTGCCTTACCGTCACTGTGTTTGCCTGCCCTGGAACCTAATGCAAGTACTTCGCGCACACATTGCCATAATACATACAACTGTGAAACATGCTACGCAACTGTGTTAGGCTAAACTTGAGATGAGGATCATGTAAGACAGAGATGATCAAGAGAATTGTGCGCAGTGCCTCCACCTCTGCTTCCCAACTGTCGGCGAGAACCGGCCGCCATAAGCAGCCGAAAGCCAACAACTGCCACGTGCAGTGAGCAGCCGTACGAACTCGAAGCACGAAGCCGATCCCTGCCTGGCCACGCTTCCGCCAGCCACCGCCCAAGTGCATGAGACAGTGATGGGGAGTACCGACGAGGGAAGACCAAGACGGACTAAGGCAGATAAAAGACTCCTGGCTATCCATGGTGAGATTGCACAGCCAATCAGCCTCGGCATTCAGATCCCGACGCCCCCATACCAGAGGTGAGTCCACCACGTGAAGCGCCCTCCACCCGTTCATAAATGCATGCAGCAACAAATCAGCAGTCGGGGACAATATGTCGATGTGTTCGAACCTGCAGAAAGAAGATCCGTTCAAGGCCCCAGCCAGAGGTTTGTTGTCTACAACGCACTGGAAGAATTTGGTCGCCTCCTCGGGCGGGGTCCAGGAGCAATCGCACGGAAGAGGCGAGAAGCCGAGGGCCTAAAATATTCTCTCTGTGGACCAATGCGACGCGGTCGAATCAAAATAAATATTTGTCCATTCCCGATCTTCTGGACCGAGGGGCACGTCCACTATTGCAGGTTCAACCGGCCCTTGACGGGCCCTTTTTCGATCAGCGCTGACGGAATCATCGTGGTCACGCTTTCGTTTGGCAGGGCGGAGGCTGCTGGCCCCCTCCACCGGCATCCTTCGAGCGACGTCCGTCTGGAGAGCCAAGTCGCGATTCCAGCGCGGAAAATGCCACTGGATGCACAGGCTGTTTACGAACTGGTCCTCCGTAGTTTTCCAAACAGTTGCCCCGGCCTCCATCAACTCCTCCCACCCCTTGAAATATTTATCTCAAAAATCTTTCACCTGGAACACAAGGGCCCCTGGACGACGATACCTCCAATCCCCAGCAGAATCCTCTCGAACCCTAGTGTTCTGACGAGCTTCTACCACCCCCACCGCATGCTCCCCCTTGTGTATATATATATACACAAAATACACCTATACGACCACCCTTCGGGTGATACGGAGGTTCGGGGGGGGGGGGGGGGCGGAACCAACGTCTCACTTGATCGGTCTCACTATCGATATTACTATCGATATCACTATCGGTCTCGCTCGATCGATCTCACTCGATCGATATCACAATCGATATCCCTCGATCTATTTCATTCGATCTCACAATCGACAGGACTATCGATCTCACAATCGATCCCCCGATCGATATCACTACCGATATCACCATATATATATATATTGCATTCGATATCACTATCGATATCACAATCGATATCACCATCAACGTCATCAACATCATCATTATTACAATCGGGCTACCATCATCAACGTCGCCTCACCACCATCATCAACAACATCACAATCGTCACAATCATCACCAGCACCACACCATCATCGTCACCACGATCATCATGAACATCACCATCGGGACACCATCCTCGTCATCACCGGAACACCACCATCACCCCCATCATCATGTCATCATCACCGCCATCATGAACAACATCGCGCCAACATCATCATCACCGGGGCACCATCATCATCATCATCATCATCATCAGCAACATCGTCATCATAAACATCGTGGCGCCATCATCATCGATACCAACATCATCACTATCATCATCATCGGGACACCATTATCATCATCAAAATCACCACCATCATCATCATCGGGCCACCATCATCAAAACCATCATCACCCCATCGTCATCCACATCACCTATAGCATCATCAACATCGAGCACCATCATCGTCATCATCATCGGGACACCATCATACACACCATCACCATCACCAACAGCGTGATCATCAACCGCATCATGATCATCATCGGGCCACCATCATCATCACCATCATTAGCATCATCTTCATCACCACCACCTCATCATTTCATCATCATCAACATCACTAAGATCAACAGCATGATCTCCGTCATCGGGACACCGTCATCATCATCAGCAACATCAACACCATCAACATCATCGCAATCGGAACACCACCACCATCACAACCATGGCCATCATCATCATCACCACCATCAAGACATCATCATCGCCACCATAGTCATCATCACCATCATCATCATCGGG